AAAAAAATATAATCTAATGTAATGTAATGTAATTTAAAAACAACGGCGGAGAGAGAGAGAGAGAGAGAGAGAGAGAGAGAGAGAGAGAGAGAGAGAGAGTACACACATTTGTATCTGTATGCGTGCAAGTGTGAGTCTGTAAGAGAAAAGCCAGAAATAACTTTTACTTTTGAATGCTCTCTTTCTCTTTCTCATCTCTTAAAGATCTCTGATTGTATGTTTTGTTTTTCTGAAAAATCGTGCACCCTTTTCCTCTTTTACTCTCTTACGCAATCATACACACACTTGAGCTTCAAAGATTCATGCTTGATTTTTGTTTTTCAGTTTTTTGGGATTCTTGATATGAACTTTTACTTTGATTATTTTTAATTTTTTTTTTTTTGGTGAAGATTCTTGTTTTGAGGTTTTCTTGAAGCTTAGTTATGGTGAAAATGGTGTTCTATTTCTGCATAAATAAAAATATATAAAATTTTATATATTATACACATATCTACATATATATGGCTCATGCTCACGGTAAAAGTAATAATGACTATGCAAATGCTACTGGTGCTAATCAACAGAAGCTGGCAGCAACTTTCTATGATTTTCTTGACACAAAAGGTCGAAATCCTTCACCGGCAGCTGGCGGTGGCGGCCGTACATCGTCAGAGGTGTCTCCATCGGCTTCCGCCTCCCTTGGTGCCTCTTCTTGTGGTGGCCGTGGGCCCATGTCGACCACTTCCGATCTTGGCTCCGGTAATAACACAAGTGCAACCTTCATTCTTCCTTTCTTTACTTTTAATTTATTTTTATGACAGTACTTGGACTTCTTTAATGGGCTATTTTGATTTTTTTTGTTCAGCTGACTTGTTGTATACTTGTATAAACGTGCTTACATCTTTATGTGTGTTGTACTGGATAGTTTGATTTTTTGTCATTTCAAATTTCACAAATACTTTTGATTATTTTCAATATTGTTGAAATCTCACTTTACACTTGTATGTGTCTCTATGCTTGTACATGTCTATTTTCTGAGCTCATTTGATTCTGCAACTCTTTTGATAAATTGGGTGTTTATGACTTTTGACAAAATTTAGTTTTGTGTGAGGTCATCGATGGAGATAGAAGCGAATGTGTTCATTCCGAATTAGTTCGATTGAAATTGCTCGTCAGATAGGTTTGCTTTCCTTTTTCCCAAATTATTGACCAATTTCATGGTTAAGAGTATAGTTGCTTTTTAGTTTTCTAGTATGCCCATATTTAATGGGCATTGTTGTAACAAATATGAATTACTCCTATTTAAACCATTATTAATGTAAGCAAGGTGGACGCAGAAGTTTAAAGTTAGGGCAACAATCGAACTTGCAAAGAAGTTGAGAAAAATTTTACAATAAAAAATCAACGTAAAAAGAATACCTCATGTAATTTTGCATCATCAAATTTACATGGGATTTTTTGGATGTAAAATTTCGAAAATTATTTATGTCGTATTTCATATAAAATTTTCTAATAA